CAAAGGTATTTACCTATATTTCCCTAATAAAACTGAACTGAACTGAACTAATTATAGTACGCATGCGGATGGTCGCTACGAACTATAAGTGCCGCACAATCTGTGCATGTCTCACACCATTCTACGGGTGACCTTTGATTAAGGAGTTTCAACAGAATCCGAAATGTCAGGAAAATAGAATTCAGTTGACCTAAATGGGAAAACTTCACGGCCTTGGTGGGAGTCAAACCCACAGAGCTGGGAAGGCTTTTGCGCAGCCAAAGTTGGCATCTTCTTCTTCCAAACTGCTTCCTACAACCCTTACATTCTGTTCTGTGGGCAACAGAGAAAGTGTAATTCCCGATATAACAAGAGGTGTGCATCGAAGAGCAGTGTAAAGATACGCATTTCGTTAAACAAAGTATTTTTATTGACAAATATTTTGTAATCAATCAATGTGTTCAAAGTACATTTGAGAAATTTATCAAATCAAATCGTAGACAATTACAAAGCACAACCATTTTACAAATCAAACAGTAAAAATCAGCCGGTTTACAAATCAAGCGTTTGGCAAATCAAGCATCAAGTTCGTCCGATAATGATGTATAAAAGAATCAAATTATATAAACGAATACAAGAGGGGCGCGTGATGTAATCAGTAAATCAATAATCAACAACAACAAATCGGTTTTTCGGCAACCCAAAGAAGGGTAGGCATGCGTTAGGCAGCTTCCTGTCCCTCAACGTTCATTCTTTTTGATACTGCAAATGTGTGCCAGTTGTGCAAGCGAATGCCGATTACAGGCGTGAAGCAGATCGTAATTGGCCACAAGATGATGCGACAGACCCTCCTGTTGGTCTGCTTTCACCATGGTCGAGACTGGGTACTCCGCTCGATGGCAGAGAGCAGTCTCATCAAAGCGTACGACAGAGACACGGGACTTGCCCACCAGTTGATGCCATTCGCCGGGCTTTATCCAAGACGGCCTCAGAATCATGCGCTTTCTGGTCTCCGTTGGTTGCCTTGAGACAAATCAAGGCAAGACAAAATTACTCAGGGCAGGGCATCCGATAGGAGTATTGGGTCCTAGTTACTTAGCGTTACGAAGTAAAATGCATGCATAAACAGACAAATATTTATAACTCGTTGCTGGTAACGAATTGTTCTAAAATACGATCCCGGATTCCAGGATTAAAAAGAATTACGGTTGGACCGGTATTTCTTGCAAAACTCTAAAATTTGCGAAAGATTTAAAGTCACTCATAAAACGGCATTAAGTAAGGTTGCAATTTCTGTCATCGTATAACATAATCTCATGTCATTTCAGTCACATCAGCATACCCGTTTTAAAATGAGAGACTGTCTGAATGCCGAAAATGTGTATTATTTAAATAGTATGCATTTAACTAATTAATTTTGACTGCATTTATAGACTTCAAATATTCATTTTATAGAAAATATTCACAAAATTATACTTTATTTTACTCGTTTAATATCACATAACGCTATCTGCAAATTTAATACGCAAAGGAAGGGTATATTCGGTGTTTAAAAAATTATATTCAGGAAATGTTTACGACTGTGAAGTATTCATGTATAATACAGCACATCCGTCAATTTATTAGCAGTATATAGCATGCTCCACGTCTATTGCAAACGT